CGGGCAGTGCTGCCCACCTGGGTTTTCTTGCCTAGCGCTGTTGTGTTCAGGGTCCTTTAGGGCCAGTCGGAGGCTGCGGAGCGGCGGGGGTTGCCTGCGCTGCCCGCCCGGGCATCCTCCTGGTGATGGAAGCAGCCGCCGCCGCCGCTGTGGGGTCGCGCTGTGCCCCATCCACCGCTGCCAGAGAGGTGGGAAAATTCGCCGCACGGAGGCCGAAAGCGAGAGGGGCTGCGCCGCTATGCCGGGAGCTGAGTCCCATATAAGCAGCCCCCAGCCATCGCCCCCAGCCGGCTTCATTCCCCTGAGCGAGGCAGGAAGCTGCGGTCCCGAGAGAGCGAAGGAGAAGTCGCTGGAGCCGGGACGCTCCGGGTTCGGTGGAGCGCTGAGCGGGGCTCCGGGCCGGGTGAAAGTTTTTCTTCCCGAGCCGCAGGGCGCCCGCTGCCCGGAAACTCTGCGCAGGGATAAGTCGGCCGACTCCTCCGTCCCCTCGAAGGTGCGGGGACCCACAGCGGAAGCGAGAGGGAGCGAAATCGAGGAACGAGTGACAGCCGGACAGTCCACTGGGCGGTGATCCGGGGCCGCTCCCGGACGCGCCCTCGGCTCCAGGTGAGCGGAGGAACCGGGCAGAACCGAGGGTGGGCGTTACTTAGGAGGAGAAGGCTGGGAGGGAGATTGGGGCGCATCCGCTCACTCCGCTTCCCCTCGCAGGTCCTTCCCGGAGCCGCTGCCATGGGAGAGCCAGCCTTGGGCGCTGGGGACCAGCCGCCGCGCCCGCCTCGGAGTCGCGGCCAGAGTCCCGGCGCCAGCAGCCAGCCCGCTGCGTTGCACCCTTCCCGGGCTGCAGGGCTGCCTCCGCCGCGCCGCCGGCCCGGATTGTGCCTGTGATGAGCCGCAGCCCGCCGCGAGCTCTGCCCCCGGGCGCGCTCCCTCGGCTGCTCCACGCTGCGCCTGCAGCCGCGCCGCGTGCCCTGCTCCCGCAGTGGCCCCGGCGCCCAGGACGCCGCTGGCCTGCGTCCCCTCTCGGAATGAAGGTGTTCCGTAGGAAGGCGCTGGTGTTGTGCGCGGGCTATGCACTGCTGCTGGTGCTCACCATGCTCAACCTCCTGGACTACAAGTGGCACAAGGAGCCGCTGCAGCAGTGCAACCCCGACGGGCCGCTGGGTGCCGCAGCAGGGGCAGCTGGAGGCAGCTGGGGGCGCCCGGGGCCTCCTCCGGCCGCGCCGCCCCGTGCTCATGCCCGTTTGGACCTCCGCACTCCTTACCGACCTCCCGCTGCCGCCGTCGGGGCAGCTCCTGCAGCCGCGGCAGGGATGGCGGGGTTTGCGGCCCCTGCAGGCAATGGCACTCGGGGCACCGGGAGCGTCGGGGACAAGCGGCAGCTGGTGTACGTGTTCACCACGTGGCGCTCTGGCTCGTCGTTCTTCGGCGAGCTATTCAATCAGAATCCCGAGGTGTTCTTTCTCTACGAGCCAGTGTGGCATGTATGGCAAAAACTGTATCCGGGGGACGCCGTTTCCCTGCAGGGGGCAGCGCGGGACATGCTGAGCGCTCTGTACCGCTGCGACCTCTCTGTCTTCCAACTGTATAGCCCCGCGGGCAGCGGGGGGCGCAACCTCACCACGCTGGGCATCTTCGGCGCAGCCACCAACAAGGTAGTGTGCTCGTCACCACTCTGCCCCGCCTACCGCAAGGAGGTTGTGGGGTTGGTGGACGACCGCGTGTGCAAGAAGTGCCCGCCGCAGCGCCTGGCGCGTTTCGAGGAGGAGTGCCGCAAGTACCGCACACTAGTCATAAAGGGTGTGCGCGTCTTCGACGTGGCGGTGTTGGCGCCACTGCTGCGAGACCCGGCCCTGGACCTCAAGGTCATCCACCTGGTGCGTGATCCCCGCGCAGTGGCGAGCTCACGGATCCGCTCGCGCCACGGCCTCATCCGTGAGAGCCTACAGGTGGTGCGCAGCCGAGACCCGCGAGCCCACCGCATGCCCTTCCTGGAGGCAGCGGGCCACAAACTTGGCGCCAAGAAGGAGGGCGTGGGCGGCCCCGCGGACTACCACGCTCTGGGCGCTATGGAGGTCATCTGCAATAGTATGGCTAAGACGCTGCAGACAGCCCTCCAGCCCCCTGACTGGCTGCAGGGCCACTACCTGGTGGTGCGGTACGAGGACCTAGTGGGAGACCCCGTCAAGACACTACGGAGAGTGTACGATTTTGTGGGACTGTTGGTGAGCCCCGAAATGGAGCAGTTTGCCCTGAACATGACCAGTGGCTCGGGCTCCTCCTCCAAACCTTTCGTGGTATCTGCACGCAATGCCACGCAGGCCGCCAATGCCTGGCGGACCGCCCTCACCTTCCAGCAGATAAAACAGGTGGAGGAGTTTTGCTACCAGCCCATGGCCGTCCTGGGCTATGAGCGGGTCAACAGTCCTGAAGAGGTCAAAGACCTCAGCAAGACCCTGCTTCGGAAGCCCCGTCTCTGAAAGGGGGGAGACCTGATGCCCTGTGATGATACCTATAAAGAGGATTGTAGTGTGTTTAAACAAACACAGTCCAGACTCAAACGGAGGAAGCCCACATACTCTATTATAGATATATAAATAATCACACAGACACTTGCTGTCAGTGTTTTGAGTCAGTGCATTTCAAGGAACAGCCACAAAATACACACATACACCCCTCAGAAAAGGCAAGACTTGAACGTTCTGTCCAGGTGCCCCTCTTCTCCTCTCCTTTGCTTTCTCTTGTCCTCTTTCTCCTATTTCTTACCCTGCCCTCCACCTGCCTTCCATTTTGAAGTGGGATGTTCATGAAATCAAGTTCCAGTAACCCAAATCTTGTTTACAAAGTTTTCGTGGTATCTGTGAACATGTAAGAGTAATTTGGATGTGGGGGTGGGGGTGGAGAAAGGGGAAGTGGTCCAGAAAGAAAAAGCCCCATTGGGCATGATAAGCCGAGGAGGCATTCTTCTAAAGTCGACTTTTGTGTAAAAAGCAAAGGTTACATGTGAGTATTAATAAAGAAAATAATAAATAATATTCTTTTTTATATTTGCCTCCATTACTTTGGATTCACCTGTGTTACTTGTCCTCAGCTTCAGATAGAATCTCCTTCCCCTCCCTTGTTTCCATTTTTCCAGTCTTTTTCCTGAAAGGCAGCTAAACTGGGTGGGAGCAATTTTTGTCTCCTTGGTAATAACCTGGGGGATGTTTTCTCACATGTAAATCTCAGCCTGTTAGGTGCCCAGGAATGAAACACATCTTTGAATTCTAAAGGCAGAAACCAAACAGGGCAGTGGAAGAAAAAGCACACTCTTTTCTTCAACTTTGAACACAACAAGAAGCAACTCCTTCAGGACTTGAAAGCATTTGGTTTTTCATTCCTCTTCAGTTAAGATGGGGAACCTTGAAGCAGAGACCAATGTTTTGGTGCTGAGGTTGGTTCAGAAAAAGGATTTTTTAAAAAAGTATGTAATTTTTAAAAGTCTGATTATTAGAACACAGACCTCAGGAAGTAGTGTGACCATATTGCTGGCAATGGTAGCAACTTCTTTGGTTTAGCAAAGTGACAGAAGTATCTGTTTGGATTGTTTTTCTGACTATGACACGGTATGTGGAGGTGGATGAAAGCAGTGAAGTTTCATCTGAGAACCGTAAGGGCTTTTCCTTTTCTTTCTTGCTTCCCATTTAAATTAGTGCAGGAGAGAATATGAATTTATAATGTTTTACTTGGGATGCCTGTGGAGTATGTTGCTTTTCTTTATCATGTTTCCTAAAAGTAAATTTGCAAAGAAAGTAACATGCTGCAGACAGTATAAGGCTTCAGCCAAGAGCTTCTTTTAGATATGATAATGAATTGTGGTAAAGAGGAAATGAAAATGAACTAGTGTGTAGGATTTTGAAATTTGGTATTTTCCAAGGAGAAAACCATTGAATTTTCCTGTAGTGGTTATGATGTTGTGTCCTGAACCCATTTGGTACTGAAACATTCTGCAGAATGTTATAGTATGGGAAAAAATTATGAAGCCCAAATGGGAACAAGAGACAGTGTAGTTGTATATTACAGTAAATACAGTACAAGTTCATTATCATCATGGTTTTATTTTACTATGATTTTTTATGAGATCTCTGAAAGCCAACATGTATAGGTTAAATGCTGAGAATTTTATTTTAGGGAAAAGATGATAAAAATAATATGTACATGGGGAATACTTTAACACATGATGATTCTTAAGTATAATTACCATTGCAATGTGAAATCTAGCTACACTGGTAAGAATTCCAAGATAAAGAAGCATAAAGGTTTAAAAAGGGGTGTATTTAGAAATGAATTTTATAACACAATCTAGAATGGTTATTTCTTAATTTACTGACATAGTTTTTAGTATTGTGTTTCTGAAGCCAGATTACAGCTCTAATACATTGATCATGTTTTCCATATTTTTGTGGTAGTGCCTATGCTGAATTAGCTTCACCAGCAGTAGAATATTTGTAATAGATTTAATTTAAGAATACTTTAAAATTAAATGAACAAAATAATTAATGTCAAATGACCAGATGAAACAGATTTAACAGGAAATTAAGAGAGCAGCATTAAAAAGCAACCACTCTGAATAAAATAACCATTTATAAACAAATTTTGTGTGGCATTAGAATCAGCTCTTATCAATCACAGTGAAATTCATGCCTAATTGTTGAGCGAAGGATTTTCAAGCAGTTGAATTCATTCTTCTTTCAGCCTATCTAAGGACTTGGACTGTGTTAAAGTAGAATTACGATGTTTTGGATCTTGTATTTAAAACAATATTAGATGCTAGATAGAGCCTTTGCAGCTGGCAGAGCATTTGTGGCCTCTTCTCAGATGAAATTTTAAGCTAAACACCAACAGATCCTCAGCTTGCTCTGTTTGAACAGGGTTTCTGTTCGTAATCTCCTTGTTTTGTAGCAGCTGCATTCTCTCCACTCTGCCACTCCTGTGCTCTGTAATTTGAAAAGGTGAATTGTTGCTCCTGGAGATTTGTACCTAGCTGCCTTCTAGGAAAGTGAGACAGGTGTTGTTCCCACTAAGGGCTGAGCTAGTCATATCAGTGACATTCAGCTTCCTAAGGTTTGAGAAGGAGAGAGTAGCATTTTTGGCGTTAACAAGCTTCTGTCAACCCCTAGTACAAGCAGACCTGTGCTATGACAAATTACAACAGAGCCTGTGACCATTTTTGAGGCAGCAAATATGAAAGAGATGCTTTCACATTTCCCAAGCTGGCAATATGTCCGTCAGCAAGAGAAAATATCTTTAGAGCAGGTTGTCAGAGTGATTTTCATTTTCAAATTCTGCTCAACTGATAGCACTCCTGACTTACCCCTTGACTTTGGAATGCCTTTGTTAATGAGGAAGCTGTATTTATAAAACAAAGTTTACCCGGTGCATTTGGTCAACAAATTTGAGTTTGGAACAAGGCAGAGGCACAGGCTGAGAGCTTAAATTTCAAGGAGCTCAGAGCCACTCAAAGACCTCATTCAGACTGGCAGTGATACCTTGCAGGCAGGGGCCAGAGCAAATCTATACCCTTCAGTGTCCACCACATAGTGCATGATAAATATTTATTAAATAAGTGAATGAAATATGCAACTACTAAATTTTGAAAATACTTGCAAGGGAGAGAGTGGAAGAATGTATTATCTGTATGGAGAAAATGCCAGCCTGTTCAGTAAAGTTTGCTGAAGGAAATAAGCCATGGGCTCTAATTAGATGTGGGGAGTGAGCAATAGGAATATCTTCAGGATTTCCAGGGCAACTGTTTATAGGCTGTTTCCCACCGATGAATTAGAGACAAAATGCAGAATTTCTAAGTGTGGGAAGGTAAATGTTTGAAGTAAGGAATTTGATTGTTACTGTTTTCCCAGTTGCATGAACACCGTAAGGGCGGGGATCCGAATAAACCTGCAGAGCACATGTTGTCTGGGTGTCTAAGGGAGGGCTAAAAAGCTGTTTATTTTTGCAGAAGTCATGTGGCACTTACTGTTTTGAGTGCTGTGAATGTGTAGTTTGATGGACTGTGATGTATTAGGTTGGTGCAAGCATGATTGTGGTTTTTGTCATTGAAAGTAATGGCAAAAACTGCAATTACATTTGCACCCACCTAATAGATTTTCTGCAGGTATAGGGATGGTTACTTTCAGGAAGTTTGTCCTATTGTGGATGCTGAATGAGACAATGGCTGCCTGTTTCCGTACATTCCCTGCTTGGACACAGCCAGTTCTGTCCAGGATTTCTGTTGCACACAGTACAGTTGCAGCTGGATTATGTGACTGGTTTGAAATTAATGTGAATTTGGAGGAGGTTATTAAATTAATATTCCCTGGGTCTTGAAATCCAGACTCTAGAGATGACTCTAGGAAGAGCAAGAGGGAAATGAAAAGGCGTGTCTCATCATGTAGGCATGGTAAATAAGGACAAGGTGTCACTTACCATCCTCCCCCAACTTTCTTTCTTCCATACACACAACACACACGCACACACACATACAATTGAATGTATGCATTGTCTTGAAGAGATGTGGATGAGAGAATGTTCTAATTCCAGCTAACAGATATGTGATGAGGCACACTTTTGATCTCAGGCTTCTGGAGAGTGAGTGGTCGGCCAGTTGTTATATTAGAAAGCATGACAGTTCTGTGTCAGGATCCAACGGGGATAGGTAGAAAATGACAATCACAATTTGAGGAATGACTTGAGGTGTGTGATGGGATGTCCTGAGGTAAATGCATAGTTTATAGATCCCTTTTGTCCTTCACCTTGAGGAGACCCTTTTCAAATCTGTCACAGCTAAGAAAACAGTTCATTCAAATACTTTCCCCGCTCTCAGGACATTCAGTTGCTACTTTTGCAGTTCAACTATGAGCCACTGAGCTGCTCAGCAACAGGCTTTGGTACAAGTATTTAATTGAAATTATAGGGCTTGACTTTTATTACATCTGATGCAATTCTGCACATCCTTAATCAAATTATGCTAAGAAAATGTTAAACTTTGCATAACACATTAAGTTTATAGAATTGGAAACTGTATGAACCAGTGTTTGGGGTAGGGGGTGCTGGTATTGTTTCTAAATGAAGGAGCTTTGAAGGAGCAGGAGCCTGTCTGTACACATGGTAACAGGATGATAAAGGATGGCCATGGATAAACCTTAATTTTTGGTCAAACTAGTTTTATCTGTAATCAAATGTCAAAAGTATTTTGGGGCTGCTTGAACTTTTAGGTTGGTAATAGTCACCCTACCAAGTGAATGGCAATAAAAATGATCACTGGGGCTAAAAGCTATACTCAGAACTAGTCTGTAATGGCTCCCATCCCAGGTGTAAAGACAGGGCTTAAGAGAAATTCACCTTGAAGCAGTTAGTCTTCTAGACAGGATCAACTACATAATTTGCAGGGCTCAGTGCAAAATGAAAATGCAACGCCCTTGTTGAAAAAACTATTAAGCCTTTCAAGATGGCAGCAGAGAATGAAACCAAGTGTGGGGTCCTTCTGAGTGGGGGGCCCTGTGTAACTGTGCAGGTTGTATATCCCTGAAGCTGGTCCTGTCTCCAGATGCAGAGGATGAAATGACTAGCTATAGGAGACAGCAAATAATGGTGTCCTACAAGTTCTTGGAAAATGAGTGCAAAGGTATGGGTTATTATGGGTAACTACAATGAAAGCAAACACAAGCTCACTTTGCATGATGGAATTCCAAAGAGGTCAGTGCATACATGACAAATAATCCTTGATGATTGCAGCAAGAGATTGACAATGCCCCCTCAATCACTGGTTGGGCTTGAGAACACTCAGAACTGATCTGGCTGGAGACTGAGAGAGCATTTGCTGCTCCTGGGATTCCTCTCACAAGAACAGGTCAGATGTCTTGCATGAGGATGAAGAACATGGTGTCCTTGTCCTCTGGCTGTTCGCTTTCTTCTGTAACTTTTGTAAGGCTCTCGCTTGATTTGCATAGTATATAATAGAGACAGAAAGTCTATGCATGGAAAAGCAAAAGGTCAAGTCACAATAAGCTCAAGGAGTAAATGTACAAGATGTGCTAAACACTGATATACCTCTTTATTATGTTAAGTATAGTCAGCTAAGTTTTTTTATTATAGGCTTGATATATCCCATTTTCCTCTGAATAACTTCTCTACACTCTCTCTACTGTACCCCCTGCCTCCCATTTCTTCTTCACTTTGTGAATCTCATTATTAAGACCCTGGATCTTTTTGAAACTTTTATTCATCAGCCCACTCCAAAATGCAGAAATGCCTTTCAGTCCTCTTATTCCCCCTGACTACCTCCTGCATAGATCTGTCAGTGTGTGCTGCTACAGATTGGAATTGTTTGTTTATAGGCCCATTTCCTCTCATGTCTTGGACTTCATATATATGGGGCAGACAGAAGCTGAAAAAGCAAGGCAAATTAATATAGACAAAAAGGAATACCAAATAATGCCCATGGAAGGCCTCAAATGTTTTTCCACATTAATGTTTGAAAGAGAGAAACAAACAAATTGAAGGCCCCAAATGAAAGGTAACAACTGAATTACACAGTCCAATACATTTTTTGAGTCAAGTAGGAAAATATATTACCGTCATGTTGGCTGAGGCTGTGTTTGTTTTTGACACGTAGAGGTCATGGCTAGTATGATCATCTTTTAACCATTTCAGGAACTGAAAAATTTTTAAGAAACAATGTAGAAGTCTAAATATTACATTTCCATTTTCAGATGTCCCAGTTGCTCTGGCAAACTCCCAGTCTTTCTATGAATGAACTAGCTCCTGGGAGGAATTAAAATCTTTCATTTCTTATATTGGTGCTGAGTATTTTTACATGAAGGATGGTGTTACATTATTCATCTCTAAAGGAAAATAGGAATGAAAACACATCTTCTTTCTGAGATAATGACATTCATATCAATCATTTTTAGTCCTGTTATTTAACCAGACCTACTTGCTGGTGAGACCACTATTCTCCCAAGGATGTGAGTTCTGAGTTCACATTATTTAGGTTAGATCTTTACCTCACATAGTTTCTCATTTATATTTACACATTTCCCAAGTGACTTC